CACGACGTTCGACCGCGGCACTCTCTCACACGGACCTCTTTCACACACGGTTCGACACATAAAGCAATAGTCGCTAAAATGCCACTCACGCGGGCGAGGGGGCCACTACTCGCGTAATCCTGTGTACAGATGAGGGTGTAAACCCTATGTAATCCTTTTGTAATCCGTAAACATACTTGACCAAATTTTAAACTATTATCACTTATGTCACTAAATTTCACCTTATTGTCCAAATTCAATGGTTTTAGAGCCAGAAATTCAACAAAATTCATGTGTCATCCCTCAAAATTCTCATGTAATCCCTGTAATCACGTAATCCTGTGTACATCCTAAAGTAAAGTGCGGTGGCCCCCTCGCACGCGGGGAGCTTTGCCTTTCAGGAGGTCCAACACCTCGTTGCCCAAGTGGAGCTCATGCGTTTGCAGCGCGTCCTTAGGGATTCTTTTGGAGCAGGTGAAGGTGAAGAAGGGCCGGAACCTGGTGCAGGTTGCGCGGGTGGGGCGTTGTAAGCGAAGGGAACGTCATATTATTCAGTCAGTGTTACGGTACAATGCTCCAACAAACACGAACACTGATGAAAATTGAGTGTTGTGTTGAGTTGTGTGCACCGCCACGGCAGACACGCACCCAGAAAACCGTTTCTTTGACTTAACGAAATCACGAACTGACGATATTTTCGTTGATTTGAAGAAAAATTTCTTTATCTCAACGAAAATTTGTTCAATCTGACAAAACTTTCGTGGAGTGAAAGAAATTTTTTCGTTATTTGAACGAAAAAGATTTCTTTGGTTTCTGGCACGAAATTTTCGTTGAATTAAATAAAATTTCTTTAATTCAAAGAAACGGTTTTCTGGGTGCGGGAGCATCACAATCACATGGTCTCGTTTGGGCGGGCCATAAGCTCGGCTCAGCCATGACGCCAGCGCTATATAGTGCCACCGGCCGAGACAATGCTCGAGTGCACGCGGCTCGTGGAGCAGACGATGGTCGCGAGGGACCCAAGGCCAGTAGTAACTCGGGTAATGAGTCGTGTCCCATGTCCAGCTACCAAATCCGCCCCGGATCCCGCAATAATGTAAGAGCGCCTCCCGGTCGGGTCGGCCGGTGCCCCCGCGCGAGGAGTCACTAAGTGCAGCTTGTAAAGCGCGCCCCGGGCCCATAATGTCAGAGTTCACGCAACACGACGACGCGTGACGCACGCACCTCGATAGACGAATGGGTGTGTCTCGCACGGGCGCGGAGGCTGCACCGCGAGCAGCCCGCGAGGATAGACGAGCTCGGTCAATCCGAATATTCGGCTGATGATGATCAACCACCATACGTTGCGTTTTACCTCAGGAGGCTGGAGGCTGTACACTGCAGGAGTTGGGAGAGTGTGTGTTAGGGGGGGGGGGGGCCTCCTCTGACGCTTTTCCGCAATGTACGGTGTCTTGTTAAATGAAGTTCCTGCATCATCAACCGTCCAGCTGGCCACGGAGCCACCACGCACGACCAGCGCCAGCGCCTTCTTCTAGAGAATACCACTCCAACAAAAGGCGGTTTTAAAGAGGGGGGTCGCTTTTCCGTTACAGCCGCTTAAAAGTAGGCAACGTAGACTGATCTGCATGCAGGCAACCCACAGGACCCCACCCCACCAGTCAATCGGGCTTGGGACCGCCGCCCCTCCCAAATATATTGTAGATAATTACGTGCATAAATTATTTTTCTTTGCAAACCTTTCGTCACGGCGACACATGATTTTAGCCTCATGATCCCAAACGGCGTGACGAGCACGCGTGTGACAGGCGTGACACCCCAGCCCGGCCCAACCACCCAACCAGGCCGCTGAGAACCAGGAGCGCTCACATCACATGGGCGGATGATCGCGGAGCGAAGCGCAGCAGCAGCGCGGGGCTCACCCGGGGCGAGAAACTCTGGCAACAATTTTTATCACCGAACGCGTGCACGGGTACACACCGGTTTGGACAAAGAGTCTTGACATTTCCTAAACTGATGCATGCCAAGGACGGGCGGGGCGGCTCGCGATGGGCGCGCATTGGGCGCGCCGGGCCCCCCGACCCCGCGTCCCGCGTGCCGAGCCGAGGTTAGGAGACGAGGTTGTCAACAAAACTGCGAGCGGGTCCTCGTCGCGGCGCGAGCCGCGCCGGCCGCGCCGGGCCAGGCCCCACCCACGCGCGAGGCGAGACGATCAGATGCGAGCGATGCGAGCAATGAAACGGCCGTTTGCTGCCCGAGCTATGGGCCGCATGACGCGTGTCGGCGGCGTCGTGCAGCTCTGCAGTCCGCCGCCGCACAGTGGTCCGAAAGTACTCTTTTTCGAGGAAAAACTCCCCAAATAGACATTTTTATTCGTAACTGGGCATGTGTCTAGACTTAAGTTTTTTAAAGAAAAGTTATTTAGGTTCTGAATTTTTTTTCGAAAAATTTCAATTTTTAGCGTTTTTAGTCGAAGAAAAAGCTACAAAACTGCATAAACTTTAAAAAATCGGACCATTCCATATGTAAAATTTGAAAACAAAGCGATTTTACTTCGTTGATTTTTGCGTCAGGTGTCACGTTTTGGTGCAAATTGGACTTTTAAGGAAAATGGCTATTTTCCACTGATTCTGAGTTTCTTTTTAACTCTGTGCAGCAAACTAGGTCAAAATATGATTGAAATCTCGTTTCAATGACACATTTGCATAAAAAGAAGGTTATTGCAGCTTCGTAATGGGGTACTTCTGCCACCACATCCCAAACAGTAAGGCCGTGGGGAGGGGGCGAGGGGGTAGACATATTCACCTAGATGAGGGTCTTCCCGCAACCTGCCGCAACTTTTTATGATTCCCCCTCTTGAAGTACCTATGGACGAAGGTTAAGCGACCCCAAACTCCTTCGGATATCGGTCGGAGCGATTTGAATCTCAAAACTTGTAAGTTTTAGTCTTTCTAACAAAATTGTAAAATAAGCCGGCCACTGCTCGGGCGAGGAAGTGGTGGCAGAACGCATCGATGGTTCCTATATGTTCTCTGATGTCCAAAGACACTCAAACAAAACGCGTTCCATCCAGGGACATTGTCAAAACGTTTTGTAGGTTCAGACATTATTGCACCGCCAAAAGTGCAAAAACCAAGATTAATAAAACCGCCGTCTTTGACAGCCGCTAGAGCCTAAACGGCTTGGCGAGTGGAAAAACCCTTCTATGGCTAAATAGTTTAGACATATAAGAGTCGAAATAGGCAGTGTCCGACCACCCTCGTACAAGTTGGATTCTGGGCGTTTTTCCTTGAAAAAGGGTACTTTCGGACCACTGTGCGCCGTCCACCACCAGGACAGTGGCGGCGGCGGCACCTTGAGGCAGGCCGTGGTGCTGGTGCTTCCCTCTTTATTTATCCTCACTTGCTATTTTCATTTTGTCTGAGGGTATTTACCCCCATTAATCGTGAGTGCTCGGTCGTCGCTGATGTCAGATTTTGTCAAGCGACCGCGACTAACGATGCATACGGATCGATATCAGTTCACATAAGTGTGCGGCGATTTCAAGATACCAGTGCAATTCAACACAAAAATCGACGACTTTGCAATAGATATCGATTGTCTGACATGGTTTCGATATCACTATTCCTCACTGTGACGCATATGTGGGGTGGGGTGGGCGTGGGCTGTGGCAGGGCAGCAGCACACAATATTTCTGCAAATATAGGTAAGAGGTGATGGATAACGAGTCAAGTATATCGCACATACAATGTTGTGCGGCCCTTCGCACCCCGCCGCTGCTACGGCGGCTTGTGTGCACGGCATTCCCTGCGGGATGGCAACACACTTATTGCTGGTGAGGCTGTGCGAGCTTGTGCGACCCCGCCGGGGCCGGCCGGGGCCCCCGGAGCAGCGCGCGCCGCGTCCCGGGTGACGTCAATGGGCAGGGCGCGGGGGGCGTGGCGGCGGCGGCGGCGGCGGCGGCGGCGGCGATCTGTCTTGCGCCACGGTTTAACTACCGCTGATCCGCCACCCACCGCCCCGGCACATAGGCCGTGCTCCACTACAAAAGCGCGAACAACGGCGGCGTATGGCCTTTTCATGCGCCGAAATAGGGCGGCGCGACGCCCGCGTGGCCCAATCATAACACACACACACGTGGACGTTGGTGGACATGCGCGGCTGCCCCGCCCCGCCCGTGCTGCCATCAGCCTTCCTCCACCCTTTGCTAAAATATTGGTGTTTAGTCGCCTTTTTGCTACAGATGCAGACGAGCGAAGGCAAGTTCAATCGATGCGCTACGCTACCCCTAATCATTTCCGGAAAGAAGGGGTGGGGGGGGGAGCGGGGGTTGTTTGCACGCCAGCGATTTTCTGTCCGCCCGGCGCCAACTCCTGGTTATCCCCGTCGTCACTGGCCCCCCTTCCCCCTCCAAACGGTCACTATCTCCCCATACAATCACGCACATTTAGAGTGCAGTGTGATGCACGACCACTGCTATATTCACTTAAGCGGTCATATGCGAGAGCGTACTCGGGAGCGTAAAGCGTAAGCGTAAAGCGCACCGTTTTGGCGTAAAAGAGCGGAGTGGGGGTACGCACCCTAACCTCATCTTGGCACATATTTGGTTTTGACGAGTGTTAAAAAGCATTTTCTTGAGTTGTCATACATTCAGACTATGTTGTGGTTATAATATGACCATGTAAAGAAGGTGTCATACGAAATATGTCCCCCCACTCCGCTCTTTTACGCCAAAGCGGTGCGCTTTACGCTCTACGCTTTACGCTCTCGAGTACGCTCTCGCATATGACCGCTTATGTGAATATAGCACAAGACCTTGTCGCTCCAGACGAGGCGAATAGCTAAGCGGGCCGACCAGACCAGAGCGGCCCGGTAGGCTGCACACTTTCACTGGTAAACCAAAATGTGCCACACCTCAATAACACTACGTGTTTAAGAGTTTAAATTTAAGTCTTACAAGTAGCACTCAAAAATCCCTATTTGTGCACTTGCAAGTGTTCAACCCCAGTAGTTGTGCACTTCTTGTAAGTGTGCAACTCCTCTGTTGGACACTTCCTTTGGTTCTTCGCAAGTGTTAAACAGAGTACTAATTGCACACATACAAGTGCATAAATACCAATAAGTTGATGAACACTTGCATGTGTGTACTTGTCAATTGCTACATATTTGCTTTGATCGGGCGGGACGTCGGGCTGCTCATCAACGGCCCCAGGACCCCCGCGGTCGCGGACGTCGCCTAGGCGGGCGTCTCATTATGCGCCGAGTGGCGGCGCGCGCGGGGCGGGGCGGGGCGGGGCGGGGCGGGGCCCGTGGCGTTGGCGGGTCCGGCCCCGTGATTTAGAGCCCGGCGCCCCCCGACCTCGGCTGCGCCGCTGCGGGTCACCCACGATGACATGTCACTTACCTCCGGCCTGCCCGGCTCTGCTGCGCAGGACCATGTCCCCCCTGCTCGTGGCCGTGGCGGCCCTGCTGCTGGCCGTGCTGGCGCTGCGCGGCCTGCGCACCTACCGGGACACCGTCTGGCACTGGCACACCCTCACCCGGGACATGCCGGGGCCCTTCGCCTTCCCGCTCATCGGCAGCTGCTGGACCATGGCCAAGCACCCCGACCGGATGTTCGAGCAGATGATGTGGCTGTGGAAGGCGTTCGGCAGCACCATCAAGCTGTGGCTCGGGCCCTTCCTCTTCACCATCCTCCTGGAGCCGGACGACGTGGAGGTGTTCATGACGCACCCCGCGCTGGCCGACAAGCCCGTCGCCTACGACCTGGTCAAGCCGCTTCTCGGCGACGGGCTCATCACCCTCAACAGCTCGGAGCACCGCCGGCACCGCAAGATCATCTCCACCTCGCTACACCTCGACATCCTCAAGGGGTTCGTGAGCACGTTCAGCGAGCGCAGCCAGGACCTCGTCGACAAGCTGCGCGTCCACGCCGACCGCGGCGAGGTGGTCGATATGTCGCCCTACCTGGGCTTCTGCGTCAACCACAGCCTCTGCGACACGGTGCTGTCCACCGACATGACGGGCGTGGAGGCGGACCGCGACGAGCTCATCCGGGTGGCCGACCAGGCCAGCGTGCTGGCCTTCTTCCGCTACTTCCGGCCGTGGTACTGGAGCGAGCGCGTGTTCGCGCTGCTGTCCAGCCGCTACAAGGAGTACCGCATGGTGGTGCATGGTATGCAGGACTTCGTGCACAAGGTAAGGCGCGGGCCGGGGGGGGGGGG